GTGATTCAAGCTCACCAGCAGCTCCTTGGAAACCCTATACAAGTCGGAACTGACTTGATGGCACTTCACAGCAAGAACAACGACCATCTGTGCTTGATGGGCAGCAGAAAACGGGGCTTAACCACTGTATCTAGTTTTATAGAAAGACAATATTGGGAGGAGTGACTAAGTATTTGGTTTTTGGGGGGGATTTTTTTGTTATTCATGGTATTTTCAAGTGTTAGACACAGGGAAGTAAGAATGATTAAAACACATTTAATATCTTTTATTTTCAGGCTTACTCAATTCCAGATATGGCCGAGGATGGGTTGATCATAGAAGAGTGGCTGTAAATAGCTTTCGCTCTTTTGGATATGGCCAAAAGTCTTTTGAATCTAAAATCTTAGAAGAAACCAAATTTTTCATTGATGCTATTGAAACATACAAAGGTAGACCTTTTGACCTTAAACAATTAACAACAAAAGCTGTTTCAAACATCACCAACCTGATCATTTTTGGAGAGCGATTCACTTACGAAGATACTGATTTCCAGCACATGATTGAATTATTTAGTGACAATGTGGAGCTAGCTGCCAGTGCCTCAATCTTCCTGTATAATGCCTTTCCGTGGATGGGCATCTTACCATTTGGAAAACATCAGCAGCTGTTTAGAAATGCAGCTGTGGTTTATGACTTTCTCTCAAGGCTTATTGAAAAAACTTCTGTTAACAGAAAGCCTCGGTTACCTCAGCATTTTGTCGATGCTTATTTAGATGAACTAGATCAAGGCAAAAATGACCCATCATCTACCTTCTCCAAAGAAAACCTAATTTTCTCAGTAGGTGAACTCATCATTGCTGGAACGGAAACTACAACCAATGTTCTCCGGTGGGCAGTTCTTTTCATGGCCCTTTATCCTAACATTCAAGGTGAGGATTTTCTTGATGACCTCAGAGTCTGTCTGCATACATAGGGCTCATGGATGTTTTGAGTCTTTGGTACAGTGCATTTTATGTAGATACTCCTGCTGTGCCAGCCAAGAAGAGTAATGTTTCATAATTACAAAGAAGTTTCAACTCTTTCATCTCAGTTCCTGTAACAAACCTCTGAGATAGCTCTTTCTATGCTGTTTTTAAATGAGGAAAAGCAAAGTGGCTGTTTTGTCCAAGTTTAGGCAGAAGAAGTTTTGGGGAGTCCTGGTGTGGTGTTGTAGGATACACCCTGGACTGCTAACCACAGGGTCAGCAGTTCAAGCCCACTAGCCACTCTTTGGAAACCCTAAACAGGGTAGGGTCTCTGTGAGCTGGAACAAACTCAGTGGCAGTTAACAACAGCTGGTGTTTGGAAGCTCAATTTTATGCTTCACCGTTTTCTTTCCTGAGAGTGATGTTGTTTCAATTCTGTTTGTTTAATTTTCATTCTTATTAATTTCAATATTTTTTTTAGAACAAAGTTACTCAGAGCATTGGTTACTGGTTGTGCAAAATACAGGCATGTATCAAAACTCACAAGTAATGAAAAATCTCATTCTGGGTTTACCATATATAAGAGTTATCGTATGTTGTATCCCAAAGGGAATTTACTGTAGATTTACCTTAAGAATTGCATAATAACTTGAACACTTTTTCTCTGACAGGACAAGTTCAGAAAGAAATTGATTTAATAATAGGCCCCAATGGGAAGCCTTCTTTGGATGACAAATGCAAAATGCCTTATACTGAGGCGGTTTTGCATGAAGTTTTAAGATTTTGTAATATAGTTCCACTTGGGATTTTCCATGCAACTTCTGAAGATACAATTGTACGTGGCTATTCCATTCCTAAAGGCACAACAGTAATTACAAATCTTTATTCTGTACACTTTGATGAAAAGTACTGGAGAGATCCAGAAGTGTTCTATCCTGAGCGATTTCTGGACAGCACTGGACATTTTGCCAAGAAGGATGCTTTGATTCCTTTTTCCCTGGGTAAGAGAAGTTTTACAGAGGCATGAACTACATATGCTTCATCTATAGTGTCTTAGAAGTCCTGGTATGGCTCTGTAAGAGAAAGCGCTGGACCACAAGGTCAGTTTGAACCACAAGGCTGGCGGTTCAAACTCATCGGCCGCTCCTTGGAAGCCCTATGCAGGGTTGCAATGAGTCAGAACCAACTTGGTGGCACTTAACAACAACAACAGCATAGCATCTTTAACCTGAAGTAGGCTTCCATAGAAGAAAATGGTCCAACTCTGAAAACAGCATTGAGTCTTGCAGGAATGTTTTTATTAGAGACATTTAACACTTGTTTCTACTCAAAATAAAACAAGTCTTAATATAATAACTAGAGATAAGTTGTCAAAAATCTCTGACTTCTTCTGAAACTGGTTTGCTTGTATACAAAGCTTATGGTGCCAGAAGCCAGTAACAGGCAGCTTAAGAAACGGACCCAGAGAGGGTAATGACATGGTAATTTGAAGAAAAACAACTACCTGCTTCTCCTGTCTACAGTTTCATATACCTAATCTCTAATTAAGAAAATAACTTTTCTGCTGGGGAAAAATACACATATCATAAGACCCCATGCATGGATGATGGACTGGAAATTCTTCTTCATTGAGAAAGTGTGTACACAGATAGTCAGGTGAAGTAAAACGGACTTCTCTGGAATCAATAAAACCAGATGTCACACCTTTATTTAGATCATTGATGACATAGCTTAGGTTCTGTTACAGCACGCAAGGAAATGGGAGATGGGACTAATCTTACAAAAGGCCCTGAGCTGACAGGAGAAGGTAAAGGAAAGCGATCCAGGAACTGAAGTGCCAGTTTTTATTCTTGGAGTTTCAGAGAATCCTTTAATAAACCTACCTTCCTCTAACCTTGCTGTAAATCTCAGATTTCCTGAATGGCACCCAAATAATAGACATTAATTATAGTAAATATTGTGGTTTCCTAAAAGTATTATATAAGGGTAAGTCAAAAAGTATTGTGACTAGGGTGCCAGTGCATACCTGTATGGCTTTATTCTAAACACACCGTGCAGTGAATGGCTGCAGGAAAGTTCTCTCAGTAATACACTTGTCTCAGTCTTGTTGTTGTTAAGTGCCTTTGAGTCAGTTCGGACTCCTAGTGACCCTGTATAGGGTTCTAAGGAATGGCTGGTGGGTGTGAACTGCCAACCTTGCTGTTAGTAGTACAATGCTTTCCTACAGCACCACACCAGCATCTGACCTGTGTCTTCACAAAGGGGAAGGAAAATCATTAGCATCAACCCAAGACATGCCACCTGTCTCTAGCCTTGCCTTCCTTACCAGTTCTGACACTGACTGTCCCTCCTACCGCACTCTCCTTCTCTGCTTGGTGTGATCAGTCATTGCAGTTGCCACACAGAACTCATAGGTCACACTCAGGGTTATGGGCATTAGGGAAGTTAACCAGTTACAATTCGGGATCAGAAATGCTCGAGACACAGTTCCTTGGTCAGGACAGCCTCTTTCCAGCCAGGCCTGCGCCCCTGCAGGCAGGCCTCTCTCTCTGGTCATTGATTTTTCAGCTTTTTGGCTCCTTGGTCCCTGCCTAGCTCAGTCAATGTTAAACAGCTGTTTTAGGGACAACAATAAATGCCCAAAGGATATGATGTTGTTGTTAAGTGCTGTCAAGTTGGTTCCAACTCATAGCGACCCTGTGTAGGGTTTCCGAGGAGCAGATAGTGAGCTTGAACCACTGACCTTGCAATTCCAACTGAGTTTGCAGTCCAGCCCATTAACCCACAGGGCCACAGCAGGACTGAAAAAGACATGATAAGTCCACCATAAGTCTTAGACCTAAGACGCTCAGCTCTACTTTTAAGGGTTAGCAAATTTAGCTCCCCAGTTAAGTGCCTGGAGGCATCCCACTCCATCAGCAAGCCTGTGCGGGAAGGTACTCAGCTTTACTGGTTCTGTGGACTGGGCCACTCAGCCTCGTGGTCTGGCTCTTGGTTCTGCTGCCACAACTCTGCTCTTTCCGGTGTCACATCTTTCTGTTCCTAGATTGTTGATTCAGTGCTCATGAATCTTGGGGTCCAAATGATCCTGGCTCATGTTTCTTAATGGCCGTAAGATGTTCCCTTCTTGCTTCTGAGATGGGTCATTTTAGAATCCATCAGGATGGCAAAGCTGACCATGGGAATGTGAGAGTTCTAAGTTTTTACAATCATAATTAACTCTGTTAACAGTTACTGACAACTAAATCATGCAGTCCTTTCTCCTTTCAGCATCTTTCCCCATCATCTCTTACCCAGACCTATCAGGAAAAGAAGAAATATACACAATCTGCATGGTCCTACTCAGTTGTTTCGTCTATACACTTCTGAAGGTGGTGTTTCCATCTCTAGACCAGGGGTGGGGAACCTATTTTTCCCCAAATTTATAACTTCATTTGCAGGCCATACAAAATTATCAACTTAAAAATTAGCCTGCTATATTTGGTCAAACATTTGACTCACTCTTAATATGATGGCCAGGACTGTGGTTGCCTGACAGGGCCAAACCAAATGATCTGGTAGGCCTTATACGGCATGCAGGCCGGACATTCCCCACCCCTAACGTAGACCTTCTCCAAAGAACTATGACTGCTGCTGCTGCTGGTGGTGGTAGTGGTAGTAATGTACCCTTGAGTTGGTTCCAACTCATGGCGACCCTGTATAGCATGGTCTCTGAGGCTGTAAATCTGTATGGAGCAGAAAGCCTCATCTTCTGCCCATGGAGAGACTGGTGGATTCACACTGCTGATCTTAAGGTGAGCACTTAAGGCAACCTTAACTGATCTTAAGGTAACCCACTAACTACACCACCAGATATCTCTCAGACTATGTCTGGTGGTGGCTGTGTGCCGTGGAGTCGGTTCCGACTCATAGTGACCCTGCACAGGGTTTCCGAGGCTGTAAATCTTTTTGGGAGCAGAATGCCTCATCTTTCTCCCACGGAACAGCTGGTAGTTTCGAACTGCTGATCTTGCGGTTTGCAGCCCGATTCATAAACACTACGCTACCAGAGCTCCAGAGACTATGTCTAGAAGAGCCATATTAAGAAATACTGCATCACAAGGTACCTTGAAAAAAAGGTCCAATCAAAATGTAGCTCATCAGGGGATCTGCTAGACCAGTTAAATTCAAGGGAGAGAGGTCAGCTCAGGTTATGGGTTTTTTTTTTAATCCCAAGATGTGATGCTCTAGGACCAGCATTGGACTGCGTACTAGAAGGTCGCTGGTTCAAACCTATCAGCTGTTTCTTGGAAACCCTATACAGGGTCACTATGAGTTGGACTTAATAACAGTAAGGAGTAGTCTTTGTAGATTTTTCTCAAAAAGGACACAGGACAATCATAGGGACTTATTAGGAAGAAGTTTTACAAAAATTGAAAGCTGCATTGTAGAAAGTTACGCCAAAGGTGTTTTTTTTTTTTTTTCCCTATGACAGTGTACCTGCTCATTCTTCGAGGATAGCAAGGGCTGTCCTATGAAAATTTTGTTGAAATTTGTATGAAAACAGCATTTAAAAGGAACAAGAATTTAATTCTTCAAGGATGCTAAAGTGTCTGTTTTTATGTTGTATAAAGTGAAGAGCAGAGTTCTTTGGGGAAAGGTCTAGGGAGATGGAAATACCACCTTCAGATGGGGATATGTCCAGAGACAGTAGTAGCATTACATTTTGACGTTTTTGTTTAATAGAGCTTTCTGTGATTTTTGTAGTGATATCTTTTGACTTACCTTCAATATGCTTTTTCTGTCTAGGGAGAAGACACTGCCTTGGAGAACAGCTGGCCCGGATGGAAATGTTCTTGTTTTTCACCACATTGCTTCAGCAGTTCCACCTGCACTTTCCACATGAATTACTTCCAAACCTTAAGCCCAGATTAGGCATGACATTGCAACCCCAGCCCTACCTCATCTGTGCTGAAAGACGTTGAATGCTTGAGTGTTTGCAAGAGCAAAACTGTGTGCCTCATCTCTGAACCTTGTTAAATCAATGTGTGTGTTTGGACAAAGGTCACATTATCATAAAGCCAAGTGGGCATAAAAAAATAAAATCACAAACCATTTGTTGTCGAGAGGAATCTGACTTGCAGCATCCCCATGTATTGTATACTAGAACTCTGTTCCAGAGGGTTTTCAACACTGTGATCTTCTTTCAAGGTACCTCCAGATGGATGTGAACTGCTGACTTTTCAGTTAGTAGTTGAATCCTTGACTGTATGCTTCATCTGGGGACTCCAAGTGAGCAGAGGTGTGCCCTTTATAAATTGGACTAGAGGAGTATCAAATATTAGCTATCATTTTTTTTTTAAGCTTCAGTAACTTTTAAGATAGAAATCGCTTAACAAAAATACAGATGACATGTTTCCCAAGATGCTAAGAAGTCATGTGTACCCTACGCTGAGCTCAACTTCTCAGCCTCTTGTTTAGCACCAGGTATCCCTCCTGCCTTCTTGACTCCATCGTGCTCCTATGTCCTTGGGGGGCTTCCCTTCCAGATGCCCACTATCTCCTGATCACTAGTAGACTGTGTGATGCCGGTCTAGTCGAATGGAAGAGCAGAGAAGGAATGTTAGCATGGAGCAGATGATAGAAGAAATCTCTCTCTCTTTACTGTAGGGCACACCTTGCTCTTGGCTATGTTTCCAGAAGAATGCTGCTATTCCTCCTATAAATGGGGTCCCTGGGATTCCAGCTGCACATCAAGAGTTCAGTAGATAATACATGAATGTAACATATTTAGAATAAAAATGGCCTGACTATTGAGTCTTTGGAGCTCTGGTAGCGTAGTGTACGAATCGGGCTGCGAACCTTAAGGTCAGCGGTTCGAAACTACCAGCCGCTCCGCGGGAGAAAGATGAGGCTTTCTACTCCCGTAAAGATTTACACCCTCGGAAACCCTGTACAGGGTCGCTATGGGTTGGAACCAACTCGACGGCATTTAACCACAACAACAACATTGAGTCTTTAAGTGCCATCGAGTCAGTTCTGACTCATAGCGACTCTGTGCAGACAAGTGGCTTGTGAGTTAGAACTGCTCACCTTAAAGAACAAGCATTATTAGCAAAATAGATCCAGAAATGAAAATGCCATCATACTTGGAAATTAAAAAGAAAAAAACTACAATCTTTGGACAAAGGGGAAATACAAACCCAAACTGCAAAATTTCTAGAAAATGACTAGAAACTCTATACCAATCAGAATCGACAGAATACATCTATACTGTTATTCAAAGAAAACTCATAGCCCTAATATTTATTTTAATGGAAAATAAAGTGATTAGAATTAATGAACCATCCTATAAAAGATTACGCGAAATAATAAGAATGAAAGAGACCAAAGGAAGAGTACAAAGTTAATAAATTCCTCACAGAAGAAATTAACGAGTTGGACAATAGGAAACCAGTTGTTGTTGTTAAGTTCCATCGAGTCAATTCCAACCCATAGCAACCCTTATAGGGTTTCCAAGGAGCAGCTGGTGAGCTTGAACCACCAACCTTGCAGTTCAAACAGCTTTGCAGTATGGCACATTAACCCACAATGCCACACCAGGACTCCAGGAAATCAGTAGAACTAATGTAATAGTTGCCTGTTAACAACAACAATGGGAAAAACAGATAAAGGGTCAGCACAGTACAGCCCTCAAGCTAAATCTAGCCAGTGACTTGATTTATATGGATCACGAACTAAGCATAAGAATGGTTTGCACAATTTTAGGTTTAAAAAAAAAAATCAAAAATATTTTGTAACACATGAACATTTTATGAAATTCAAATTTTAGTTCTATAAATAAAGTTTTATCAGAATCCAGCCGTACTCCTGTCAGCAAAATATCTGCAGCTGTGTGCCATGATGTCCGAGTGAGCACTTCTATCTGTGGCCCTCCCATCACTTCACTGTGCTGCTTGGCAGGCTGCACATTAGTGACTATTGTAGCCCGACAGCATTTCCAGGGTCATGCGTAATGCTGTAACGTTACTGCCAGGGCATGCCCATCATGTCAGAGAAGAAGAGACACTGAGGCGGGCTTTGAATTTTCAGGACACAGTGCAGTGTAGATTATTTTGTGTATTATGTATATTACTAAGTGACATGACATCTGCTCTAAAAACACAATATTGACCATGGTGTTACCAGACTAAACACTCATCACAATATTCCTAAGGAAACCAATGGTCAGAAAAATGAGACAATTTTAAGGATAGCTCATGCTAGCAGAATTTCTTCAGAAAACAAATATGGAAATGAAGCTGCAACCAAAGTTTCCAAGTGTCTCATTTGTTAGCAAAGCACGGAAATCCATCTACAAATGGTAAGTTAATTAAATTGCATTTGATTACAGCTGCCAAAGAAATGTATCCAGAGAAAATAAACTTTAAAACTAATAGCCTTTATGCAAGAACAATTGTTCAAACTGGAAGACATTGGAAACAACATCAATAGTCATTAAAACACAAATGATTCTGAGTCATTCTCCTTGTTTCTTGATGAGTGGACAGATATTACTAATACTGCTTAGCTGCTGTTTATTCAAGAAGTCAATGCCAACTTTTAAGTGACTAAAGAATTAGCATGTATGAACAATCGGCACAGAAAATCATGAGAGTATTTTCAAAGGAAATGAGAAAATACTAATTTGCTAAAATAAAAATGGAGTCTGCTAAACTCTGTTATAACTGATGGTCGTAAAACTATGTGCTGAGCATAAAAAGGGGCTTAGTTGGACAAATTTGCAAAGCTTGTGAAAATGTAAGGTTTTTACATTATTTGCAGGTACTTTGCAGCAAATATTTGAATCTATTATGTATTATCAGATACCAAAGTTGAACTTCATTCGTTCTCATGAACTTGGAGCAACTTAAATTTTGGAGAGTCTGCCTGCAGTTAAGCTTGAACAGATAAGAAAAGATGTAATTAAGTGTTAGATTATTTACTGATAGATTGGTTGTAGTGGGGGAAACAACACACATCATTTAGTAGAGAACAGGAATAAACTCCAGTACTCATATATCCCCACAATAGAATACTAGGCAGTTTTTTTTTTTTAATAAAGAATTAGGAAGCTCTCTCCATGTGTGAATCCTAACAAATTATGGGTAAAGATAAGAATGGGTATTCTAGAACACTTAACTGTTCTAATGTGAAACCTAGACCAGTAGGCACTTGTTTGAGTAGAACAAAGGAATTCTGCATGTTTTAAAATCAGAAAAGGTGTGCACTGAGATTGTATCTTTCACCATACTTATTCAATCTGTACGCTGAGCAAATAATCCAAAAATCGGGGTCTATGCAAAAGAACGTGGCTCAGGATTGAAGAAAGACTCAATAACTTGTGATACTCAACACAACTTTGCCTGCAGAAAGCAAAGAGAACACAAAGCACATAGTGATGAAGATCACACACTATAGCCTTCAGTGTGTATTATAAATAAATGTAAAGAAACAAATCCTCACAACTGGACCAAAAAGTAACATCATGATAAATGGAGAAAAGACTGAAGTTGTCAAGGACTTCATTTGCGTTGCACTTGGATTCACAATCAATGCTAGTTGAAGCAGCAGTCAAGAAATCCAACAGTGTACTGCATTGAGCACTCCTGCTGCATGAAACCTCTTTAAAGTGTTCAAGAGCAAAGATGTCACATTGAGGACTAAGGAGTGCCTGACCCAAGCCATGGTATTTTCAGTCACCTCATAGTCATATGAAAGCTGGACAAGAGTGAAGAAATGATCTATTTGAATTCTCATGTTGGGGAAAATGTTGACTGTGTCACAGACTGCCAAAAGAATGAACAACTCTCTTTCAAGAAGTACAGCCAGAATGTGCCTTTGCCTCAACTAAGTTGCACACATTATCAGGAGGGACATTATGATTGGTAAAGTCAACTGTCAGTGAAAAAGAAGAAGATCCTTAATGAGATAGATGGACACAGTAGCTGCAACAATGGGCTCAAAATACAAACTGTGAGGATGGCACAGGACTGGGAAGTATTTTGTTCTACTATACAAAAGAGTCAGCATGAGTCAGAACTGTGTTGGTAGCACCTAACAATACCTGATGCTATAAGCTAAGGTAAAACAAAACAAGAAAACCAAAATATAGAAGACCAAATTGGATGTCAGAAGAGACTCAGAAAATTGAACTTCAAAATTTAGAAATGCTCAAGCAAAAGGAAGAAATGAGGAGGTAAAAGAGCTGAGTAGAAAATTTCAAAGGGCAGCTCGAGAAGACAAAGTCAAATATCATAATAATAACACAATAAAATATACAAAGATCTGGAGTTAGATCAAAAAGGAAGAACATGCACAGCGTTTCTCAAGCTGAAAGAACTGAGGAAAAAATTCAAGCCTTGACTTGAAATGTTGATAGATTCTATGGGCAAAATATTGAGAGATTTTTTAAAAATCAAAAGAAGATGGAAGGAATATACAGAGTCACTGCACCTACCAAAAAGAAATGGTCAATGTTCAACCATCTCAAGAGGTAGCATATGACCAAGAGTCAATGATACTGAAGGAAGAAGTTCCAGATGGATTGGAGGCATTGGCAAAGAACAAGGCTCTGGGAATTGATGGAATATAAATTGAAATCTTTCAACAAACTGATGCAGCACTGGAGGCACTCACTCATCTATGCCAAGAAATTTGAAAGACAGCTACCTGGCCAACTGACTAAAAGAGATCCATATTTGTGCCCATTCCAAAGAAAGATGACCTACCAGAATGTGCAAATCATCAAACAATATCATTATTACATGCAAGTAAAATTTTGCTAAAGATAATTCAAAAACAGCTGCAGCAGTACTTTGATAGGGAACTTCCAGAGGTTCAGACCAGATTCAGAAGAGTACTTGGAACAAGGGATATCATTGCTGACATCCGATGGATCTTGACTGAAAGCAGAGAATACTAGAAAGATGATTTATTGATTACACAAAGGCTTTCTATTGTGTAGATCATGACAAACTATGGATACCATTGTGGAGAATGAATATTCCAGAACACTTAATGCTCATGAGGAACCTGTATATAGA